CCTATGTGGAATATAAACCAACACATGGACAGAGAAAACTGTATTGTGGTTACCAGGGGCAATGGGGGTGGGCACAAGGGGTGAAGGGAGTCATATATATGGTGATGGACAAACAAAAATGTACAACCCAAAATTTCACAATGTTAAAAACTATTAAAACATCAATAAAAAAAAGAAAAAAAATAACTTCACTGGAAAAAAAAAAAACAGTCTCCAAAATGACTCTTGCTAAAATTGTTTTCTCACTCCTGGGGGCTCTGCTTTGAGGAACTAAAGCCCCAATCAGGGAGTCATCACCATAAATAATGCATCAGGCTTTCACCAAGACTCAGTACAGCCAGCAGCAGCTCAGAAGGGTCCATTATCCCCCAGAGTTTACAAGTGGGCATCGTGATTAATCCATTTATCTGCTGCTCAGATGAGCACCCAGAGGAAGAGTCAGCAATTACCGAATAGTGAATAGGTACACGCATAAACAAAATGGACCCGTGCTTTGAGTTGCTGGAGCACCTTGATTCCCAGAATGTTCACTCATTTTGAGTTTTAAAGGTCCACAATGACATAGTGTAGCAGGGGTGGGAGATAGGAAGCCCAATTTCCAGAAAGTCATGAGTGACTAAAAACCAGAAGGCTCATGAGCTTGTCATAATCACATGAATCAATTCAGTCAACATTTATTATTCCCATTTATTATTTACTGTGTGTCAGGGACAGTGTTAAGAACAGAGTATACCAAAAAAAAGTTCATTATCTAACCGGAGAAATAGATATATAAAAAACCAATTATCTTGTAATAGGAAAAGTGAGAGACACGCATTAGGAACACATGAGAAGGAGAAGGAGCAAGCACTCTCCCGGGGGCGGGGGATAAATGGCAGATCTGGGAAGGGTACCCAGAGGAAGTGACCTTTGAGTTGGGTCTTGCAGGAGGATTTTTTTTTTTCCAAAGAGAAGAAGAGGGAAAAGAGGAGCAGAGGTAGAGGCAACAGTACGCACAAAAGCATTTAGCAGGAAGTCAGTGGTTTGTACAGAGAATTGCAGGGGGCAGGAATTAAAGGGCCTTGTACACGATGCCAAGGAAATTGGGCTCTATCCTGTATCCTGTAGGCAATAGGGCAAGATGGTACATTTTTAAAGAGATGTCTGATCATGAGCAGATTTGTGCTTCCGAGAGCCCATCAAGTAGTGATAAAGAGGCTGGATTAGAGAAGAGGACCAACAGCTGAGACGCTGCTGCCTTAGCAAGGGCAGAGGTGAGGACGATAGTGGGCTGAAAAGGAGGATGGACTGGAGGCTTGGCAGACATTGCAGAAGGCCACATCAGAAGGTTTCTGATGATATGTGGGAGCAGGGGAGAAGGAGAAAAGGCTGACGGGGAGCAGTGATGCCCTTAGCTGAGGAGGAGAGGACTCTGAGGGACCCGGAGAAAGGGTAAATGGAGCCGACATCGCCGTGCTTACCGTGTGCCGGGCTGTCCCAGCACCTCCTTCTGTCCCACCCTGTACCGCAAGGTAACCGCTCTAATAACACACAAGGGGACTGAGGTCAACGTGGCTGAAGAGTGCTCTCAGGGCCTCCAGGGCCACCGTGCCCACCACGGCTGTGTGCCTGACCCCACGACCTTGCTCCAAACTTCACTTGTTGAGGGAGACTCTGCTCATGGTATAAGTAGTTTCATGCTCCACTTTCTCCTTCCTGCCTAACGATTGGAATAATTTTCCCTGTCTTTACCTAGTGAAAGAAGACCTTCTCCATCATCCTTGCCTACCTCCAACATTGCATCTCTCCCTTCCAAAGTATCCCTCTCCTTCCCACTCCTCACCTGCTCCCATCCACACACGGCATCCTTTTAGAAGTAGCAAGCTTAGGGCAAAGGGCAATGAATCAGAAGTGGGGCAATCTGTGTTCCAAGGCTGACCTAGTCAAACAGGCGACTTTCAGAAATTGCTGGACCTCTCAGCCCCGATGTCCTCACCTCCAAAATGAGGATAAGAAATGAATACTAACCTCTGCTCATCTCACAGGGTTCTTGTGAGAATGAAATGAGATAAAGCACTGGCAAACACCACCAAGAAAAGGCAGGAAAAGGTGCTACAGATTATCTGGCACTACTGTCCACCAGACAGTGGGTTCCTTGAGGGCAGGGGCCTGGTTGTCTTCACCTTTGGATGAAGGTACCTAATTATTCCTGGCACAGAGTTAGTGTTTGATAAAGACATGTTGAATTATGAACAAAGACCACGATCACCATGAACACTCACGTACACACACACACAGACACACACCCCACAGAGGCATCCTTGCCTCTCTCTCCCACCAGAAATGTGGCAAACCCACAGGACCCGGCTTTTGGAAGTATTGTTCTAGTCCTGGCTCATTCTGAAAACAGCCAGTTCCTGGAGGAAAACCAAGCGATTGTCATGCTGCCTGGATGCCTCCATCGGGCACGTTTGACCAAATGTGAGTTCCTCCCCTTCTCAAGAGGACGTGCTAAGAACTAAAGCCCCGGACTCACTCCGCTCCCAGGAGCCCCAGCTGGATCAGGCCTTCCCCGCTGCCGCCTTTGTGCCGGGCGTGCGACGCGGGTTTTTTTGTTTTTTTGTTTTTTTTTTCTTTTGCTAGCAGGAGCTCGGCCGCCTCTACTGCTGTTTTCATTGATGCCTTGAGCAGAGCTGGCATGTGCAACTGCTGAGAGGGGGGAACGCGGAGCCGCGGGGGAAGCAAGTAAAAATAGCCTGGCGCGCCTCGCTCTGCCTGCTCCGGACGCCTTTAACCCTGGCCGAGGTGGAGAGCTCCGCCGCCGCCGCTGCACACTGCGAAACCTGGCGGGGGTCTGCATGCAGACCTCGCGGAACAGCTGGGGTTGGGCAGCTAGAGACCAGCGAAAACTTTATTTTAGAAACCGAGTGCGGGGCGGGGGGCGGGGGGGAGCGGGTTATTTCTTGTTTCCAGCGCTCCAGCCACCTGGCTGCAAGGACTGCTACGTGCCCGCTAGTGCAACACTTTACACAAGTACAGCCTTGACTCTGAGCTATTTTTAGAAACCCCTCTCGCGGGTGGGCGATCAGAGGGAGGAGGGCCGGGGGATTGGTAAGGCTAGCTCTCTGCTGTGAGGCTAGGCGCCTTGCACTACACATCCTTCTGAATGTCTGCTCTCGGGTGGGGGGTGGAAAGAGGGAGCGGTGAGGGGACCGCGCGTGCAGGCTTTGCCCTAACTCAAGGAGATGGCATTAGCTACAACACTTTACACAAGTACAGCCTTGACTCTGAGCTATTTTTAGAAACCCCTCTCGCGGGTGGGCGATCAGAGGGAGGAGGGCCGGGGGATTGGTAAGGCTAGCTCTCTGCTGTGAGGCTAGGCGCCTTGCACTACACATCCTTCTGAATGTCTGCTCTCGGGTGGGGGGTGGAAAGAGGGAGCGGTGAGGGGACCGCGCGTGCAGGCTTTGCCCTAACTCAAGGAGATGGCATTAGCTACTGAATGTCCCACTGTTTTCAAGCCCCAGAGCGTGTTTGTTTTGAAATCGACAGTTGCCAGATGCACGCTGCTTCTAGTCTCTCCGAGAATGGGGATTTAAAAAGCTTTGCTGCCTACGCTGTAGGGTAGGGGTTAGCTGCAGTTAAGACCCGGAGGGAAGAAGATCAGGCAGGGTCTCTGCACCTTTTTGCGTTCCGGCAAGACAGAGGGACAAGCCCCGCGCCACACCTCCATCCCCGCCCCACGCTGCATATGGGTAACCATATGTGAAATGCACGGCAGCCCCACCAGACACCGGCTATTAATAGAGCCCGGAGTTCGCTCTGTGTCTTTTTCCTGCCACCGAGTAAGGGATGATCTTCACACACATACCCCACTCCGCCCCCATCTCAGCGGACCGTTTCTTCAGGAAGGTAAGGGGGCTGCCCACGCTGATCTCCTTCGTGACTACAGGTGCCCAGAGCCTGCGGACTAGTGCAGTCGTAACACAGCAGGGTCAGTGCCAGGCCGGGAAACACAGCCTCGAGTGTTGGGACGCAAAACCCAGCAGGGCTCTTTGCGGCTCGGGGCCAACTCGAGGGTAGAGAAAGGGCAGCTACTGGGCTGCCGAAGGTGGAGGGCAAGAGCGCAATTTGCGGAGCTAGAGCGACCTCCTCAAGAGCTGCTGCGGGACGGGTGGCTGCAAACCGGTTTCTCGCTGCAGCCGGCGGCGCGCAGCCCCCACCACCCTCGTGAGCCCGGCTGCGGCAGGAGCGGGCGCTGTCCCTGGTCCTGAAGGTGGCCGCGGCTAGTGCTCCCTCCCCCAGTTTAGCGCCGCCGAGACGGCTCTAGCGTTCGAGGATGGCAGACCTCTCCTCTCCCCGGCCCGGTCTGAACGGGAGGGTCTGTTGGTGGTGCCCCAATCTCACCACCTGCTCGGCTTGGCCCCGGCGGCCGGGAGCTCTCCGCGGTGCTGCGGGGACCGAGAGCTCGGGGACAGACTCGAGCTTGAAGGGTAAAGCCGAGGCAGCGGCCCGAGACGGTCAAGGCACTGCAGGGAGCAGACCTGGCCCCGGGATCACCCGTCCCAGCTCTGCACAAAGCCGGGATTCTGGAACCCTAACGGAGTCCAGAGGAGAGGGCAAGGGAGCGCGGCTGCCCAGGGTTTGGGACTTCGGGGAAAGAGAAGCGAGCAGCGGGTGGTAGGAGAGAAAGATGGGGTGAGAGCGACTCTTTTGCATTTTCAAGAGGGAGGGGACCTGAGACATGCACTGTCTTCCCCCCACCTCAACACACACACACACACACACACACACACACACACACACGGCCGGCAGAAGCAAGCGGGATGGCTGGGGAAAGTTTGGCACTAGGTGCTGAGCGGCGGCGGCGGCGGCGGCAGCAGCGACAGCGGCGGCGGCGCGGTGGTCCGGGGTGGGTGCTGGGGTCGCCGGGGAGCCCCGGCCCCCTCTCCTCCTTACCTCGGTGTTCTCGGCTGCGTTCTCCGCCATTTTCCTCCTTAGGAGCAGGCAGCGGGAGGAGTGTTTCATGCCCATAAGAGCCAGCAAGGGTTTGGTGATACAGAGATAGTAGAGAAAGAGAGAGCTGGTGTAGCTTTAAAAGAGAGAGAGAAAGAGAATGGGAGGAAAAAAAAAAAAAAAAAACCGAACCCAGCCCCTCCGCTGGAGCGTCAGCCGATACAATCGACCACGGTTGAGCCTTTTCTGCAGTCTCCACTTTGTTTTATTTTCCTTCCTTCTCATCTGCTTCGGATTCCTTCACACAGTTTCAAGTTGTTCTCGCGCGCCCGACCCCCTCCCCGCCCCTCTCCACCCGCGCTGCGGGCTAAGCAGGAGGGAGGCAGCCCCGAAGGCCCGGCGGCGGCGGCGTCTCCTCTCCCGGCTGCTCTGATCGCAAAGTCCGGCCGGCCAAAGGGAGCCACCAACTCCTCTTAACTTCTGCCGCTCGGCTGGGCGAAGCAACACGCTCCCTGCGCGTCTCTCCTAGGGGCTGAGCCGGGTGAGTGGGGGCGGGGTAGGAGGTTCGTGGAGCAGGCGGCGGCTGGGCGCAGACCGCGGGCCCCCAGCGCCCCCGGGCCCGCCCCCTCCGCCAGGCTCCGAGGGTCTCTGGGCCGCCTCCACTCCCGGGCGCCGTGGACAACTCGCGCGGGGGCAAGGGCTGCGCGGACGCTGCAGGGCCACGCGGGAGGCGCCCGAGGTGGGCTCTTGCAGGTTCTTAGATCCGGGTGTGCATCCTCCCGACGAGGACAAGCTCTGGGCAAGATTGGGCACAGTTACCTCGCCCCAACCCCACCCCACTCCCAACTCTCCGGCTCCTCTGCCAATTCCTGGATCCTTCCTTGACGAATTACGATTTGGCGTTTGGGGAGTGAAGGGGTGGGTGTCTGGATGAGGGAGGGTCCTTAACTCCTTCAACTCTAGGGCTAAGTGCGATATAATTCTCGCTCCTTTTCTCCCACTCCCTCTATCCAAGGCACTTGGGGCTCCAAGCCCCTCTCAGGCTGAGAGAGTGGGGCTAAGGTTCAGCCAGAGGTGGCTTGGGAAGGAGGTGGGAGAAAGTCAAATGGATGAGCCTGCAGTCTGCTCTCCTGCCTCAGTCTTCCCTGGCAGCCCCCTGCCCACACGTTTCTCTTCTCCCTCCTCGCCCCTCCCCCATCATCACCAGATTTTGAAGTCCCTTTTATGGGAGAGAGGGAGGATGTCACGTACCCATTAGGATTCTCTTGATCCTTTTTTAAGGGAGTTTGGGCGGCAGCAGGGGGTGTGAATTTTTATACAAAGCATTCCTGTCTTCACTTTGAGAGCTTCTTTTTCTCTGTCTTACTGGCCATCTGTCAGGCTGGTGGGAGATAGAACAAGGGGGAGGGGACCCCACTCTGTCTCTCCCATTACAACAGGCCACTCAGGCCAACTCTTTCAAAGACAGCTTCACTTTCAAGCCTTCAGCCCACAAGTCAAGGAGGGGACCTAAAAGATGCTCTGTGAGCATCCTGGCTCTCTTCACTTCATCCTTGTACTTACTTAGGGAGCTCAGTCCTGCATGCATGCCCTATTCGTTTTTTAACTTCACCTTTGACAGTCAAGAAATGTGAGCCTGATTGTCCTCAACTAACCCTAGAGTCTATTGAAGAAATGGGCCAGAATCTAAAAATGCCTCCATCACCTGGTCCTAGGGGAAAGAGGATATATTGCAATAAGTGGAGGAGGGAGAGGAGAGGAGGGCAGGGAGAGTAAGAAGAGTGAAAAGAGAATGGGCAAGAGTCTTGAGTTAATGGGAGTGTGTGTGTGTGTGTGTGTGTGTGTGTGTGTGTTAAGGAAGGAGTAAATTTAAATGAAAGAATGACGTTAACCTCCTTAACCTTTTCCTTTCTCAGACCACAGACCTGAATTAGCATTGGGGGTAAGCGAGCAGAGTCTTTGGCAACACCATTTTCCTTCCCCTTCACGTCCTGCCAATGTGCAGAAAGTGATATGGGGATAAATGAGGTGCATCTGAAGAATGACTTTTCCCCTTTTGAACCCCATTTTCTCTAAACATCTTTCTCAGAGACAAAAGATTCTGAAACATCTGATCCCCTACCAAGAGAGTCTCAGTACTTGTATAATCAAAGAAAATCAGAGAGGAAAAGATCCTCAGAGCTCTGTGGCCCAATCCTCTCATTTTACAAATAAGGACCCTTAGAGCAGAGAGAGGATTGACATTTGTCCATGATCCTTCAGCTGAGAGAGCATCTGAGAGCAGCCCCCTAGCCTCCTGATTTTCAGTCCAACACTCTCCCCCCACCCCACCCCACACTGCTTCTGCCTGTGCAGTGCATCCATTCTGTGACTAACCAGGGAGGAGGGGAGCTGAGACAAGCTCCCACCGAAATAGGCTGCTGCCTGTGCGTGATTATGTTGCTATGAGAACCTCAGTGGGTGTGTTTCCTCCGTTCTCTGTTGAAATCTTTTGCTTGGCTTGGCTTCTCCCCAAGCACAGACATGGATCCCCTTGGAATGGGGAGTGGAGAGGCTGAGATGGAGAGCTGCATGCTCATGGCAAGAGTTTACTGTTCCAGCCCATCGAAACTAGAGCCAACCTGGGGCTGCGAGGAGCCTAGGCCACCAGCGCGTTTCCATAATGGCTGGAGGACATGAATGAGCTGTTTTGAAAGTGGATACTCCAGTCCTCTGTTGAACCATCTTGGAGCAGAGAGAAGTTGTCCCTGTCATGCTCCCACCTTATTACAAATTCACAAGCAAAATAATTGTTACTTTAAGAGACTAAGTTTTGGGGTGATTTGTTACACAGCAAAAGATTACCTGAACATTCACCACCTTTGTTGTGAAAATTCGTGATGAATGAAAAGTGCCTAGCACGTAGTAGGCATTTTATAGTACTATTTTCTCACTGTCCTCACCATTTACAGGAATTTGGTCTTTCTCCATCTATTTTTGCATAAGTATGTTAGCTTAGTCTTTTGCAAGGTTAATTAATTTAGTCAGTCCACAAAGAACTCACTGGGCATCTCTTCTATGCCTTGCCCATTAAAAGTTATTGGACCGACTATTGAGGAGCTCTTAATTTAGTCACACTGAATGCTTTGAAATGTACAGAACTTTTGTAGAAGAGCTTTGGAAGGGATTTTGATGGGAGGCAAGAAGACATGCGAGACGACAAGGGGCACAAGGAGTTCACTGGGACGTGAATTAAATGGGTCATCTGAGACAACAGGTCTTACCAGGTAAAGAGGTCCTGAAGACACATTTTGCTTATGTCATTGTTCTTGCACTGGATCTTCAACGCAACAAAATGTACTGAATAGTACTGTAAAGTGCTTAGAACAATGCCTAGCTCATGGTAAGAGCACAGACGTTGTGTTACCATTTGCTAGGCCCTGTCTTAGGCTCTGAGTTAAACTTTATGGAGCACTTATTACATGCCAGAGATTCTCCTAGAGTTAATGCAGTTCTTCCAACAACCCTTTGAAGTAGGTACTGTCATTATCCCCACATATCAGATAAGGACACAAAAACACAGAGAATTGCCCAAGTGGTGGAGTCGGGATTGGAATCTAGGATGCCTTATTCCATAGCATGACCTTCAAGAGATTTACAGGTTCTGGGTACAAGACAGTGGTTCTCAACCTTGGCTGCACAGTGGGATCATCTGGGGAGCTTTAAAAATACCAATGCTTTGCTTCCACTCCCACAGAGTATGATTTAGTGAGGCCTAGGCATCAGGATTTTGTTAAGTCCCCGGGTGATTCTAATGGGAAGTCATGGTTAAGGACAATTGGATAAGGATATTTGGAGGAGATAAAAAGACTCACAGAGAAATAAGGTCCTTAAGTTACAGAAAGGGCCCCCCAAAACTAGAACTCCCCGCATTATAGAAATGTCCAACTCTAACATAGAGTTGCATGAGAGTCAAGAGGTTCTTGAGAAAGTGAAGTTATGCTGATGGTTGAGCTAGCATGCTGAGGTTGAAATGAGATTCTTGGGGAGGAAAAGTTATCCAGCTTTATGAGATGCCACAGGGAAAGTGAGTTTCCTGTTTCTGGAGGGTTCATTTAGACTAATTATTTGGCATAGCTCTTGCAATGGAGCTGCAAACCCTAGAAGGTTGAGCAAGGTCTCCAAGGTTCCATCCACTTCTTGCTGTGACTCCATAATTGTCTCCTATTTCATCTCTGAGCCCTCCAGAAGGTGAAGACTATGTGTAGTGGTTTAACGTCGGAAGCCAACCAACACTTACTGTGCTGCCTCCTAAAATTCAGTGCCCGGGAATCAGGATGCAGTTTCTCTAACCTGCAGACCATACTGTCTGGGAAAGCCCACATTCTGACTTATTCAAGTGTGGTTGCTGCAATAAAAGGAGATGTATAAGACATGTCATATGGCTTCCCTCCTCCTCCTCCTAGGGGAACCTCACACGTGGCCAGTGCTCACATATGGCTAAGACACGTTGCAGTGAATCCATGGCTTCTCAAGAATCAGGCCACAGACGTTATCCATCACCACCTCGTGGCGGCTAACCCAGCAGCGTTCTTAGTGTTTTCTAGGCCAGATGGGAGCCAAGCCAAGGCTGCAGCAGGCAGCTACCTGGCGGATCCTCCAGGCAGCCCCACACCTGCGTGCTTCTCCTGCACAAAAGCCTCTGCAGTCCTAACTTGAGTTCTCCCTAACGCAAGGCCCATTATTTCTTAAACTACATTCCAAAGAACAATTTGCAAGAGTGCCACCAGTGCCTGAAAAGTAATTTGGGTTTCTTTTTTTTTTTTTCCCATTAAAACCAGAGTATTATTTCTTTCTTGTTCTGATAATGTCTGATTAAATCAATTCATTATGGTTTTGTGCTGGATATAATACTGTTTGGTTTTATTATTTATTCTAACAATATTTGGGAGGTATTTTCTTAGTAGTTCTGCATTAATAGCTTAATCCTTGCTGTTTTATACCTCTAAAAAGCTGAATACTAGATTATTGTTACCTATCTTTCTCTCAGAATGAGAAGGACCCAAAAGACATTTAGACATTTTCCCAATGGCCTATGATGGAATCCAAACTTCTTTGGAGGAGGAGGAAGAAGGATGTAGTAGCAGAGCCCTAAAGATACTAGAATATTCTTTCTAAAGTGCTATCACAACAGAAATTAGCTTTTCTTCTTGGTGGAAGTTTTGTACTCCACCCCTTTCCTCCTTTTCAAATCTTTCATAAGGCTCACCTTTTTCTGGAAAATCTCTCCTGAATCTCCCAAAGCCAGCTAGAAATCAATTCAGACTATCTGGTGCAAAAACTCAGTACACATTTTCTTCCATTAGCCCGTATACAGCAACTACTATGAGCCAATAACTGTTCCAGGCATTCTGGACTAAAAGATGAAAATGCACATCCCTACTCTGATGACATATCTTCCAGGGAGAGTTGGTTATGGATTCAGGTACTATCAGGGGTCATATGGATTGGCTCTTATAGGTTAAATATAGCTATAATCAATGGCTCAAAGTCAGGAAGGCCCTGCAAGAAGTATCTATTAATATGGACAGGGAGACCCTGGAGGCTTTAGGGCCT